ACCTTGATGGATGTGTGTGGCTATGTGACTCATTGTCTACACCTGTGTCTTGCCATGTCCGTCCTGCTGTGGCACTTGGGAAGGTCCTGCTTGGAACCAGAGCTGGGGGGGCTCTGTTGGCTGCAACATGGCAAGCCACTGGCTCTGCTCCCATTTCTATCTGTAAAGTAGGGTTCCTTAGTGCCTATCCCTAGGGCTGCAAGAGTCCCAGAAGGACTCAGAGCAGTACTTGGTCCCAAAAGCAGCTGAACCAGTGTTCTGGGGCTGTCATAACAAAGTGCCACAGACTAGAGTCTCTGAGAACAGAAACATTAAGGGATCACAAGCGAAATGTCATAGGGCCACACTCCCTTCTGAGGTTCTAGGGAAGATTCCTTCCCTCCTAACCCAAGGCCCCAAGAGAATTTGGGGTGCTGTGTTTCTCCCATGTGTCTCTGGGATTTAGAACTTTAACATCTCTTAATGTGGGGCAGGGCACAGATCAATCCATCACAGTCTGCTCTATGGTCCTCCAAATTCAGGTCTCTTATGCATGCATCTCCCAAAATCCCTAAAAATCAACTCTTTAGCGTCAACTCTTAAGTGTGTTCTCTTGAATATGAACACAAAGTCCCAAATCTCAGCATGTAAATCTCAGGGAGATGTAATTGTGACTTGGAGTCTGATCTGTCTGGGGCAGATTCCCTGTCCAGCTGTGAAATGAGGTTACCTGGTTCCAGAATACATTGGTGAAACAAGCCTAGGGTAGATATTCCCAATGTGAGAAATTCGAGAGAAGGGTCATGAGTCCCAAAGGAGTGAAACCCAGCAAGGGCTGCAGGGAATCTCGAAGCCTGGTACTGCGCCTGCTACTCTGTCCTCTTGGCCTACAGGGCAGCCCACCTCTGTGGATCGTCCTGGTGCAGATCTGACTGGTCGTCCTGATGGCTTGTTGGCCCTTCCTTTTGTGTTGGTTTCAGTGCCCTTCTGCTCCTGATCTGCCACAGTGGCTAGTCAACCCACAAGTCACACCTGACTTCAGTAGACACTTGTCCCACCATACCCTGGTCCTGTCTTCAGAGCTACAGGTCATCAAGTACTGCTTCCCCTTTCCTGACAACTGCTTCCTCAGTTTATTCCTCTACCTGTGCATTTTGCAGTAAGCAACAAGGAGTAACCAGGCTGCACTCCCACACACTGCTGGGGAGTCTCAAGCGTGTACCAACTTATCATCACAGAGCAGAACAGTTTAGCCAAGTTTTCTGCCATTTTTGCTGCAGTTGCCAATAACACATTTCTCATTTCCACCTGAAACTTCACCAGAAACACTTTAAAGGATTTTTATTTTGAGATTAGGTCACACTGAGTTGCCCAAGCTGGCCTCAGACTCAAATCCTCCCACTTCAACCTCCCAAGTCACTGGGATCTCAGGCATGCACCACTGTGCCCAGCTCAGAAGCACCTTCTAAGGTCTCCATTTCTACTAGCTTTCCCTTCTTGATATTTGTGCTCTCTAAGGAACCACAGCGCTCCTTCCTGAGCCTTCACCAACATCATTCTTATCCACTTGTACCTCCAAGGCATCCCGGCTCTTACCTGCATTACTCCACCGCTCTTCCAGTCTCTGCCCGTGGCCCAATTCCAAAGCCTTTTCTGTTTTCAGGTATTTGTTACATGCAGCAGCACCCCTTCCTGGTACCAAAGTTGATCCATTTCTGTGACTGCTCTAAACGTATCACAAACTGAGTGCTTAAAGTAACAGAAATGTATTGTTTCAGTTCTGGAGACGAAATCCAGTATCGAGGCAGTGACAGAGTCTCGCTTTCTGGCACCTGTGGGAATGTGTCCTTCCTAGTCACCCCCTGCTTCTGATGTCTGCCTGCAGTCCTTGATGTTTCCTGGCTTGTGGCCACATCAGTACAGGCACTGCCTCCTGTGTGCTTGTCCTGACCTTATCCTCCCTTTGACTTTAACATGATTTCCTCTTAAAGGTTCTCCTTGGTGCCGATTCCAGCCAAGGAAGGGTGCATTCTAAGGTCCTGAGAGGACGGGTGTGGACTTTTGTCCTGAGGTGGCACAATGTCACTTATAACAGTGGTCCCTGCTCTTACGTTATGGTAGCTGAGGAGCTAGAAACTGGAACTCGGGCATCTGTTCTTGTTGATCACCTCCCTACCAGGGCTAGCAGTGGTGTGGGCAGGGACCCCCTTTCTCACATGTGCCAGGTGGCATGGCCCATCAGTCTGAGCCTCGTTCTATGGCCTGGTCAGGACTACAGGCTGTGCATGCTGACCTCTGTCCTCAGGCCATGCGAACCCTTAGCTGGAAACACACCCTGGGCCTGGTGACCATGGATGTAGAGTTGGCTGACCGCACCCTATCTGTGGCAGTGACACCTGTGCAGGCAGTAGTCTTGCTGTACTTCCAGGATCAAGGTGAGCCCACAGGTCCCAACAGTCTGCCCTGGCTCTGCCACCCTGGGGCCAGTGCTCTTGTCATAACCAGCCTTGGGGTGAGGCACTTTGACCAGTGGGGGCAGTCCTTGGCCATGGGGCAATGACTCTTTCCCTTTGCTGAGGGTCCCGCTGACCTCTGGGAGGCCATGCTGGGCTGTCAGGATGCATGCCTGTGACTGTGCACAGCCATCTGGACCTTGGAGGAGCTGAGCAAGGTGGTGAAGATGCCTGTGGCACTGCTGCGGCGGCGCATGTCCGTGTGGCTGCAACAGGGTGTGCTGCGCGAGGAGCCTCCTGGCACCTTCTCTGTCATCGAGGAGGAGCGACCTCAGGACCGTGACAGCATGGTGCTCATAGACAGTGACGAGGAGAGTGACTCAGGCATGGCCTCCCAGGCTGACCAGAAAGAGGAGGAACTGCTGGTGCGTGCCTCTGGTGGGCTTGGGGAGGAGCGGTACAGTCCCAGTGGGCAGGCCAACTGACCACCTTGCTGCTGTCCCCAGCTCTTCTGGACTTACATCCAGGCCATGCTGACCAACCTGGAAAGCCTGTCGCTGGAGCGCATCTACAGCATGCTGCGGATGTTTGTGATGACCGGCCCTGCACTGGCGGAGATTGACCTGCAGGAGCTCCAGGGCTACCTGCAGAAGAAAGTGCGTGACCAGCAGCTCATCTACTCGGCCGGCGTCTACCGCCTGCCCAAGAGCTGCAGCTGATGCTGCCTGCCAGGCCCAGGCTTGGGACACCCCCCAACTGAGTATGACCCCAGGATGAATAGGACTCCCGCTCCTGCCCAGCTCCTTCCAGCCCAACCCCCTCCAAATGCAGATTAAAGTAGGTCAGTTCTTATCCTTCAGTGTCCTGCTGGCTTTGTGAACCCATGGACATGTCCTGATTTTCCCTCTGGATTGGCCACTCCACCTTGGCCCTAGAGCCCAGCAATAGGTGAGGCCCATCCCAGACCTGCACACCTGTTGAGGTCTAAGCCCTGGGCAGTCAGCCTGCACATGTTCACCTCTGGGGCCTGTATCTCAAGCAGGAGTGAGCGAGGATGGGCTGCCTAGGAGTGCCCTGCTTTGCAGCCAGCCACCTGCCACCTCAGCCTCCCTCTCCACCGTCCTTTGGAAGGAGCCCTTGGGGCCCCCAGTCTGCAGTCTGTCTGGCTCTGCAGCTGGTGTTGCTGGGGCTTGGAAACTCTGTAGAACCTGAATTGCAAGGTGGCCTGAAGAAGTCTGTGCACTCCATCTTTGAAGGGCTGCATGAGGACACAACCTAGTGGCCTGAGATCAGCCATTTGTCCACCTGCCCCACACTGGAGTGGTATGGCCACTGTGCTTAGAGCTCATGAGTGAATGTGTTCTCAGGCAGTTACTTCCATGTCCCCCAAACCTGAGGTCCTAAGTATGGGCCAGGCACAGGGAGGGGAAAGCACCATGGGTCAGCCCTCTTCTTCCCCTCACATCAGGGACCAGCCAATCTTGGCAGTCTCTGTCCAAGAGGCCAGGTAGGGAGAGGTCCCAGCACTGTCATCCCTTGGGTCTAGGCTGGCCTGAGACACTTCCAAACTGAGCAGGGTGTCCCAGCCCCAGAGCTGCTGTTCCCAGGCAGGCAGTGCTCTGTCTCAAGGCCTGTCCTCAGGTGACAAAGGCCCTTTGGAGCCACTGCCTCTGTTCTGCTCCTGCCCAGGGTGCTTGCCCAGACCATGAGCCACACCCAGCTTTAGCTCTGTCGCTGCCACTATTCCAGACACCCTTCCTGGACCCCTCATGTCCACTGTCCTGGGGTGCAGAGCTACCTTCCCACAGTTCCAGCTCTGGCCTATTCTGCATTGGGGTCCTGAATGGCACTTCCCTCACCCTCTTATTCTAGAGCATTGGAGCAGGAAGCAGTACAAGGTAGACACAGTCTCAGCAATGGTCTGAGGATTCCCAATGCCCCATAGGCATGGCCACAGCATGAGTGGTCAGCTCTCTTGGGTTCCCCTACCTGCTCCCCTCCACTCCACGACTGCCCTTGTGTCATTGCCACTACATGAGTTCTGGTGGAAGCAGACACCTGAAAGCTGTGACACCCACCATTTTCTCCACCAGGTGGCCCTCCCTGGGCCCTGCTGTCCCTGGTTACCACTTGGGGGGGGGGTCTGTAACCAGGATGCAAACCTGTTAGGCTGGCCTGGCAGGGTGGCTGTGCCAGCCTTGGCCTCTGGCACGCCCCTGCTCTTGTGTGCCTTTGCATTTATCTCCAGGGTGTGTCCTGGAGATCTCTGAGAGTTGTGGGTCACAGCCTCACCAGGAGCTGCTTACCTGTGCAGTGCTGACCCAAAAGGAGAACACCTTACCTGCAGTCAGACAGGACCCCAGTGATCAGAGCCATGGAGTCAGGCTGTGCCCTTCCCCTGATCTCTGTGGGGCCCAGCTGGTAGGAGGCCCCACCCTGGTCAACCACAGTTCGGGCATTTCCTCTTGTGGTTTCATTCTGTCTTGTGGTTTGCTTGGCAGGTCCTTAGGGGAGGGGTGGGGTGTGGTGGCAGGGTGGGGCTACTCCGCATCGCACCTTGGAACCACAGGTTCAGAGGGGAGGGGGAGGTTTAACAATGCCAGCCCAAGGTGACAAGCTGCCTTGAGCAGTAACTGCCTGGTCTCAGAGGGAATAGACACCTAGGCAGCAGTCTCTAACTTCAGTGACATTTAGGGAATCATGGCCTGAGGTCCTGCTTCGGCAGGTGTGGCTAGGGCCCCCTGTCAACCTCTCCTGGGTGATTGGGGATCCCTTGGAGGAACCAGCAGCCCTCCTGACCTGGCTTTGCTGGCAGTGTAGGCCCAACCCTCTCCAGAACAGCCAATAAAGGCAGATGAAGGCAGTCCTCCTTGGCCCCTTCCTGCCCCAGCCCTGTGCAGCAGTGACCCGCAGCTGCCTAGGGCTCAGGCCCACCCAGCCCTGCAGTCCTTGTGTTGACAAAAGGAACCAAGGCCCCTGAACACCAGAGGCTGACATCAGACCACACCCCCCTTCACTGTGCAGGTCGGTTGGTACCACCAAGGCCCCAGCCCCACCATTGCCTGCCTCTGATCTGGCCAGGGCTCCTCCCTACCTGCCCCATACCAAGACTCCTTGAATCCCGGTGCCAGCCTGGATGCTGAGGCCCTGCCCCCACCTTCCCTGCCTCACAGCCCCACTGTGAGGTCAGAGCCTTCCAACAAGTTCCGTCCACAGGTGTGCCGTGGGGCTGGGGGCTGGACATGGCCCCCTGTCCCCAACCTGACTGCTGCCTGGCTGGCAGCCCCCTGGGCCTGATATGTCTGTCCCTTTTGCTCATCCCTGCTGCAGGTGCCTCTTCCTGCCTTCGGCCCCCAGCCATAGCCCCTCCCTTTTGCAGGCAGGGCCAACCTGCCTATGTCCTTCTGGTGGCCTCTGGGTGAGGGTGGGCTAGAAGTCCCCTGCAGGCAGGTGACTGGCCTTGCCCTGTGGCCCTGTCTCTGCAGCTGGAACCTACTGTGACTGCAGCCTGGGCCTCAGCCGCGAGGCCCTCATCGCTCTCATTGTGGTGCTGGCAGGAGTCAGTGCTAGCTGCTTCTGCGCCCTCATGGTTGTGGCACTTGGAGTCCTTCGAGCCAAGGGGTGCGTGAGCCCCAGGCTTGGGAGCAATGGGAGTGAGGCCAAGCCTCCAGGGCCTCCACCCCTTGGGTAGGGTGTCATGAGGGTCTGGGAATGGCGCTCCCTGGCGGAGTGTGCCTGGGAGGGGCCAGCCCACCGCTGCGGTATTCATGCTTACCTTCATCCCTACAGTGAACCAAGCACCAGACATGTGGACAACAGGTGAGTGCTGCAGGAGGGCCCCAGGGGTGACCTGTGCCTCACTGGAAGTGCGGTCACAGGGACACAGAGCACTGTCCCCAAGGGCTGGCCTTCCCAGGGTGGCCAAGGCCCCCCAGCCCCTGCTGACTGGGCCCGCATCGTGCAGGTTGGTGGGGCACTTCGGGGTCCAGGAAGATCGCATGGACCTGCATGCAGTGCACGTGGAGTCCCACCTGATGGACCCTGAACTGGAGGTTTCCATGATGCCATCACTGGAGGACCATGGCCTCATGACCATCCCCATGGAGGCTACTCTAGAGGAGCCGCCCCCACCCCCACCCCCTGAATAGGGTGGAGGGCAATTGGGCAGGGGAATTAAACATTATTTAGTGGTTGTGTGCTGTCCTCCTTGCAAGCTCCTAAGGTCCCTGGAGACTGCACTGTGGTGTGTATGCATTCGGTTATGGGGCAAGGAACCACCCCTCTGGTGCTTCCACCTTCTGGCACAGCTGGCCAGCCCAGCCCCCTCCCTGAAGCCAACAGGAACCCACCGTGGGCCCCTGTCGACCCAAGAAAATCCCTAGACTCTAAAGAGAACTGCTTCTGAGGCAGGATTCCTGCTGGTGCCCCTCGTTACTCACAGTGCCCCCTTGAGGTTCTAAGGAGTAGAGGCACCCACTCCCCTCCTGCACCACCTCCCCTGCCTCTGGTGTGCAGTCCTCCTCCCCCTCAGAGTTTGTCCCCTGAGCTCAAGGCCCTATCATGTGCTCCTGCCCTGCCCACTCAACCATCACAGAGGTGGGGTGGGGGACTTCTCATTCTCTACCTGGGGCCCTTTTTGCTGAGCCAGAATGGAGCGGACACGGAGTGGAGCAGGATGCACTGGGTTCTGCCATTTAGCGCGTTTGGTGGGTGCGAGTAGGTGTGGTCCTGCTCAATCCACAGCTGGGCGTCCGGTGGTCTCCTTAGTGCCGCGGCCGGCGCAGAGCCAAGACCCTGAAGCTCTGGGACAGGTGGCTGGCAATGCCAGGCGTTGGCTCTCTGCCCGGCCCCCGCCCCAGGCGCGGGATCAGCCGTGGGACAAGAACTGCCAGTGATCGGGCCGGACAGTTAACATTTGTGTAGGAGCCAAAAGGACTAGCTTCTGGGACGCCCGGGCTCCAAGGACGCACAGACAGTAGGGCCTCCACCTTGGGTTCTGGAGCTGCCCCCATGCGGGGCTCCTCTTTTATCTCGCGGCCTCCGCCGCTACTGTCCCTGCTGCTGTGGCTGTTGCTGCTACCGCCACCGCCGATGCGGCCAATCTGGGCCCAAGTGTCCACTGGGGCCGCCACCCGCGGGACCCCGGACGCTCCCGACTGCCCCAAGGCGTGCGCCTGCGCGCCCGGCGGCCAGGCCAACTGCTCAGCACTCGTGCTAGTCGCGGTGCCGGCGGGCCTGAGCCGGCGCGTGCGCACGCTGCTGTTGGATCACAACCGCGTGCGTGTGCTGCCTCCGGGAGCCTTCGCGGGCGCGGGCGCTCTGCTGTACCTGGACCTGCGCGAGAACGGGCTGCGCTCGGTGCACGCACGGGCTTTCTGGGGCCTGAGTGTGCTGCAGCGGCTGGACCTGAGCGACAATCAGCTGGAAGCGCTGGCGCCCGGCACCTTCGCGCCGTTACGGGCGCTGCGTTCCCTCTCGCTGGCCGACAACCGGTTAGCGCTCCTGGAGCCATCAGCGCTGGGCGCGCTCCCTCTGCTGCGCGCACTCAGCCTGCAGGACAACGCGCTTACAGCGATCTCGCATGACCTGCTGGCCGGCCTGCCAGCCCTTGACGCGTTGCGCCTGCGCGGTAATCCGTGGGCCTGCGGGTGCGCGCTGCGCTCGCTCTGCGCCTGGCTTCGTCAGCACCCACGGCCGGCGTCAGGTGAGCTGTCCGCCCCGGGCTCAGGCCGTATCACGCAGGGCCGGGTTGTGGCTGCCGCCCACCTGACGCCGCGCCTGTATCCCGCAGAAGCCGAAACCCTGCTTTGCGTATCACCAGGACGCCAGACGCTCAGCCCCCTGACCGCCTTTCCCGAAGCCGCCTTCAGACACTGCGCGCAGCCACTAGCAGCGCGGGACCTGGCGGTGGTCTACGCACTTGGCCCTGTCTCCTTCCTCGCCAGCCTGGCCACCTGCCTGGCACTGGGCTCCGTGCTCACCGCCTGCCGTGCACGCCGCCGCCGCCTCTGCCGTACCGCCGCCCGCCGCCCGCCTGGGAGACCGCCGGATCCCGCCCCCGACGGCACTGCCTCCCCCGAAAACCCTGTGAGCCCCACCGCCGCATCTGCCCAAGCCTGAGGGCGCAGCTGTTGCCCCAGGCGCTCCCACACTGCCCGGAGCCCTCGAAACTGCCCAACCCCGTGTCCTTCCTTCACACCCTGCTGGCGACAAACAAGCGACACAGACCGAAAGTTTCGTGACATTCCTTTAGGCATCACCACTGCACACGGCGAGGGGCACACCGGGGCCCCTGGGGCAGAGGGGCAGCGCGCAACTGCGCACGGGCCACACAGGGAAAAGACACGCGCTCAGACACTGGGAAGGCTGTCTGTACATGGTGGCAGGCGCGTGACACACCCGAAGCGAAGGGGAGGGCAGGCTGGTGGCGCTCCCTGTGCCCTAGGTGCGGAGCAGGGTAGAAGATTGTACGAGCCAGCATCTGGGGCCCACCGTGGGCTGCAGGTCAACAGAAGGCTCAACCCTGAGTCTGAAGGAGGCCCGAGGCAGCGGGGTGCCCCAAAAGCCCCTGGGTGACGCTGCCAGCTGGAGAGTCAGGAATAATTGTGGGGAAGGGCAGGGCCAGCCCAGCGAATGGGGTTGGGGTGGGGGGGGAGGGGTGTGGGGGGAGGTGCAGCAAAAAAGAGGAGAGGGGTGGAGTTAGGCTGCAGAGAGCAGAAGCTGGAGGAGGGGAGACTCAGCCAGCTGGGGCCATGGGCCCCCCTGTGGCTTAGGGTGGTGACTGGGGGTAAGGATGGGGCTGCCATCTCTGCCCCAAGCCCCTCTGCCTGGGGCCACTTAGGCCCCTCGCCCCAATGCTCAGAGCCCCCAGGGCAGATCCCTGCCTCTGCCGGAGCGCCCTGTGGCCCTGCCCAGCCGGCTCAGCTCGGCCTGTCCTCAGCCGCTCCAGTCCGCACCTTGATCCAGCAGGGGCTGCCCGCCAGGCAGCAGGGCGGGCGGACGGACGGGAGGCCCAGGGTGGGCAGTCTCTGGGGCGGGTGGGCTTCCCTCAGGCCTTCCCGAGCAGCAGGACTCATCAGTGTCCTTGGCCGGGCTAACTGGGCAGGTGGGCGCCTCCGGGGGCCTCACACCACGGTGCTGACCGAGGGATCTGAGAGGTTGAGCGGGCCCGTGATATCAGTGGGATGGTACTGCTGCAAAATAGAAATACACAGACAAGGCGGCCGTTAGCCCTGATGCCGGGGACACGCGCGGGGCCGGGACAGGGTAGACCGGCCAGCCGGCCGACCGGCGGGCGGGCAGGCGCGGCCTGGGGGAGGCTGGGGGTGCTCCTCCCCCGACCCCGTCGTGTTCCGGGGCTCTGCGTGGCCGGCCGCTGTCCCGCGTCTGTCTGTCTGCGGGGGAGGGGCAGAGGAGGGCGGGCGGGGCGTCTCAGCTCTCCCTATGACGGGAACACAGCTGCAGCTGGCCCTCCTCCCTCTCAATAGCGCGTCGCGGCAGCACTGTGTCTTTTTGGTTTTGCAAAGCGCCGCGTCCACCCCCGGTGCTCTATAAATAAGAACCAACAATCAATACCCGCCGGCCCCTGGCCGCCAGGGATCCCAGCCCTGAGCGCCCAGTGCCACTCTGGCCCGGACGGCCACAGGACAGGGGCAGAGGATCTCAGCAGCTGGACCGACCCCACCCACCCACAGGAGCCCCCACCCAGGCCTCCCTCTGAACAGGCGCCCAGCTCCAGAGACAGGGTGGGAGCTGGGCTGCCCGACCCCGCCCAGATCCCAGTGGCAGTGCCCCATAGTCAACACTGCAGGAGGGGACCAGCCCCAGATGCCACCTGGCGCCAGGGCTGGCCCCAGAGGGCGGTCCCTGGTGCCCAGGATCAGGCAAGGATTCCACTAGGAGTATGTCCCCAGAAAGGTACCATGCAGGGCTTTGAGCTGTATCTGGGCCAGCTCCAGGCATTGGCGCTGGGACTCGGTGCCACCCTCTGAAAGTGGCCCATCACCTGCATGACTTCTGTGTCTCCCCCCTTTGGCTATCTTGCCCAAGAAGTGCTGTTTCTCCTGTCTGCAAGCAGACATCCTGCTCCCTGATTACCCCTACCCACAGTCCTCTCCCTCCCACTTCACAGCACCCCCTAGTGGGGACCCTGGCTCAGATCTTAAAGCATAGGTCCTGCCCACATTCCCTGGCCTAGGCAGCCCTGAGGGCTGTGCTGCCACCAGTGGCTGGAACCTCCAGTTGCTCACAGCCCTGGGACCCTCACTATGCATGTGTCCTCTCTGTGCCCAGCCCCTGCCTCAGGGAACTGAGCAGCCAGTCGTCACACGCCTTTTTGGGGCATCCTGGCGACTTCGCCCTGGGACTTGGGCTGCTCTGGGCCAAGTCCTATCTGTGTCCTGGAGGTCTGCCCCACTTCCTGTATAAGGGGTAGGAGCTGAAAATCCCAATTCCTCCCCAGGGTATAAAACCCCTTTGGGTGATGTTGCCCATGGGTAAGAGGGCCTTCCTGTGAACTGGAGGTCAAATTGGCCCCTGGGCTGCAGGGTAATGCTGACCCTCTGGGCTCCCTGGGACAGGGTACCTCTAGTAAGGCAGGGTCCCTTTGGGGACCTTTTTCTTTTCTTTGTACTGCAACTTGAACCCAGAGGTGCTTTACTGCTGAGCTACATCTCCAGCCCTTGTACTTTGATTTTTTTATTAAACTAAGTTGCCTAGGGCCTCCATAAATTGCTGAGGTTGGCCTCAAACTTGTGATCCTCCTGCTTCAGACTCCCGAGTCACTCGGATTACAGGTGTGCTCCACCACACCTGGCTGTGGGCCTTTTTCTTTCTGAGTGCATTTCCAGTGCAATGACAAGCTGCCCAAGGCAGGAGACAAGAGTTTTGGTTCAAAAGGCAGAAGGCCTGGTTCTGACAGTGGCCCTGTGAGATTCCTGGGGGTCAGAACAGAGGTGCCTATCAGCGTCCCCTTCCGGAGTCTCCATCTGGGAACCTCAGTATCATCCTGGGCTCTGTAGGTCAGGGCTGTGGGGCTACCCCTACCTGCTCTCAGACCCTCTGGGGGCTGCGGCCTCACCAGCAGTGTCCTGTTCAGCTCAGGGGCGGAGCCACCCTCTGGTCCCGCCCCATTCCCCACCTGACAGTCCCCTGGGCTGGGGCCAGTTCCAACACCGGCCCCCAGCCATCCACCCAGCTTGGCCCAGGCCCGGCCCCCAGCCCCGGCCCACACAGAGACCACATGGAGGGTGCGACAGGCATGGCTCTGGTGAGACAGGTGAGACAGGTGTCTGGGGACATCACAGCCACCCCCTCCAGAGCCCTGCAGGGCAGGAGTGAGGGTGGCAGGGCCCTCTGAGGGAGGCGATAGAAACAGGGATGTCACAAAGAAGTGGTGTGGCCTCCTGGCAGGGAAACCTGGGACATGATGCTCTGGGCTCTCGGCTGGGCGCAGCCGGGGTGGTGAGGCTGACTGACTGACCAACAACATGAGACGGCTTCAGGATGGTGTGTGGGTCATGGCATGGGCAGAGGGGTGGGCAGACTAACGTGGAGACACATGGGGAAAGCTGAGGACAGCGGGGGCAGGGAGCGGCCTGAGGAGTCCCGAAGGACAGTGCCCACGTGGGGGCAGAGGGCTGACTTGGGGTACGGGGCTGACGGGGCAGAGGCACAGACGGCCCGGGGCTGGCGGTGGGAGCAAGGGTGGGATGGTGAAGGAGAGGGAGACAGACAGGGGGCGAGGGAGGAGTTGGCGACGTGGGACTGGGGTGCTCTCCCCCTTACCGTGTCTTTGGAGGACCTACGTCTCTTGAAGCTGGATGCCAGGGTGGAGGTGATAGCCCTAAATGTGGCTTTCTTTTTAGGGTCAGGCTCTGCTCTACCACTCTTTCTATCCTAAAATGAATATGTATAAGTGATTAGAGGCTAAGGGTGGTGGCCACACCTGCCCTCGCCTGCTCCTTGGGGGCCGCTGCCCGGCCTGGCTGGCCACTTGGGCCCTCACTCCTGCCTGCCTCTCTGTGCTGGACAGACAAACAATGGCTGGACTTTCGAGGGTGGCCTCTTCTCCTGCCCGAGGTCTCGGGCCAGAACTTGCTTGTGTGGGGCTGGGCTTGAGGGTCCCAGCTGGCTTTCTTCCTGGGCGGTCCGCCTGGATCCCTGGGTCCTGGGCGGCCCTGGCTTACAGGCGTCCTGAGGACTAGAGGAGCTGCTCAGGCCACACCAGCCCTTCTGTGCAGAAGCTGCAGACCCCAAGGGGCACACATCAAGATTGAGGAAGGGGCCAAGTGCCCAAGGCAGGTGTCGAGATGGAGTGATAGACAGAGGCAGCTCCCAGGATGTTGGCCTTGTGTCTGATGGCCAGCATGGCCCTGTGCCTGCCAGCAAGAGCAGTGGCTAGGTCCCCAGGGGACCTGTGGGGCCAAGAGCAAGAATGGGATAGATGAGAGGTGTGGGGCTCCAGCAGCCCCACCCCACAGCCCTCAATGCCAGCGTCACCCCAGGACAGCTCCAGAAGGCACCCAGAGAAAGAGAAGAGATGAGTGAGCGAAGCAGCCAGGGCCACCAAGCTCAGACCTACACGGACCCCTGGCCCACCCAGTCCCAAGCCCCATCTCAGGTGGGCCGTGGTGGGCCGTCCCACATGCAGCCTTGCCCCTATTGTCAGCAGGTTCCCTGAATTCAGCCTGGGACACCAGGCAGGAGTGGACCAGCCCCATTCAGGTTGCAGTCACGGAGCAGAAGGACACAGCAGGAAAGGGGGTCCCTGAAGTGTGTGGAGGGGGCTTGGGCGCTGGAGGCCCAATGCACCTGGAACTCACGTGCTAACACAGGTGGCCCGTCTTACCCTGCCTGCTTGCCTTCCTAGGGAATGGGTGCTGGCAGGCGACTGGAGACAGAGGGGTCAGGCAGAGGCTTGGAGTAGGGTGCATGGCCTCCCTCAGCCAGCTTGGCAGTATGTGGCCACCTGCAGGCAGCCCCCTGCCAGTGCTGCCCCTGTGCCCTGGGAGCACTCACCACTGCCCCTGGCCATGGCTCCTAGCTCCAGTCCTGCCCACTGGAGCCAGAGCCAGTGCCACAGCCTGCAGGGATGGAGGAGGGCCGTGGCCAGGCCGAGCCCTGGACGCCAGGCCTCGGAGGGTGGCCGCCCTACCTGCAGGTTCTTCCTCCACACGTTCACTGCGGCGAAGGCCAGCTGCATCTGCTTTCTTCGGGCATCCTTGTGCCGTTTGTAGGCGATCTCAATGAAAATCAGGAAGATCCCAGCCACGATGCCTCCAGCCACCAGCATGAAGACCCCTGTGAGCAGGAATCCGAGCCTCAGTTGCTGGTGGAGAGGCCACATCCCATGGCCTTCCCCAGTGTTGGAGCAGCCCTGGAGGGGAATGAAGTGCCCACCTGCCATGTTCTCAAAAGTGAGTGTCGCAGGGGCATTGCTGCGCGAGTCGCATTCCTGGTACCGAACCCAAGTCTTGTCCAGGTCTTCCATGAAGCCATTCTCATGGGACCTGGCATACCAGCAGGTTGTGAGCCAGGGCAGGGTGGGGATGCGTCCTGGGAGCGGGCGGCAGGATTGGTCCAGGACTGTGGTGGGGGGTGTGGTGTAGCAGTTCCTGGCCCCTGGGTCAGCAGGGCCAGTGAGCTGCCTCCCAGTGATTGGGCATTGGGGAGGGGGTCCTACTCCGTGGGGGAAGCTCCTGATCCAGAAGGGAGATAAGCCGCAGACGCAAGGGCAAACTCACTTGAGAATAGACAGGGAGACATTCTGCTTCCAGGGGCTGTCCTTGCGCATGCCAATGCCGAAGCCAGAGCGGAAGAACAGCTCGCCAGTGGTCACCAAGTCACACTTCTGCGAAGCCTCGAACTCCAGCACTGCTGAGTCCCAGATGAAGGCATGGAGTTTGCTGTTGGCAGAAGCAGGGTCACTGGAGTCCCCACGTGTGTGCTCCCCCTGCCCTGCTTGCACACCCTCGCCTTGGCAACTGGACACTCTCCTTGATCATTTTAACTCTATGAGTGGACACCCCCTTTGTCTCTCCCCTCACTGCCCTGTCCCACCAGGGTGGCCTCCCCGTCAGGCCACTCACTTGTCCCGCACGGCCTGGATGGCCTCGGCTGCACTCTCATAGTTATGTTTCTCCATGTGCCGATACATGGTGCTCAGCTCCACCTGCCGCCGGAAGTAGATGTCCACCGAGCTCTGCTTCACAGTAGCATAGATGAACTTGTCCGAGGGGTTCCTGAGCTGCACGGCAGAGGGTGGGCTCATGGCTGCTCCCCAGACCCCACCCGAGGAAGAATCCCTCCCCTTCAGCCTCTCATGGCTCTCCCCAGCCTGACTGGGCCTCACCCGAGGGTCGTTGATGCCTGTGATACGCTCCTCCGGTCGGTCCAGGACCAGGAAAGCCGCCAGGTTGGCAGTGTAGGAGGCCACAATGATCATGGCAAAGCCAGCCCACACCATGCCCAGGATGCGTGCGGAGAAACTTCTGGGGGCACCTGGGGGTAGAGGTTTGGGTCAGCTCCTGGAGGCAGGGATGGAGCAGACAGGGACCACGCACAACCTCACCTTCCCCAATGCCGGAGTTGAGCAGCACGCCCCAGGAGAACCACATGGCAGAAGACAGGGTCAGAGCATCCTCCTCCTCCTCCTCGCTGTTCACCTTGAACCGGCCAAAAGGGCTGCAGGGCACAAAGGGCAGGCGGGAGAGAAGGCGGAGAGGCAGCCCTGTCCCTCCCCTGTTCAGTTCAGTCTGCCCCAAAGATGGGGATGTCCAGGCCCATCGTGTTGCTCTCACCTGAAGCGGTCCAGCAGATAGAGCATCACAGCTACCACGTGCACTGACAGCCCCACCAGTAGCCACAGTGTGCTCTGAAAGGGCTGCATGAACGAGTCCAGTGTGCTACGGGGTATCTCCTGCAGGTAGACAGGTGGTCAGTGCTGCCTGGACTTCCAGTGCCCTTCCACCACCACCTAGCCCCTGCCCACCTTTTTGACCAGAATGGTCAGGCCCTGGTACTTGAAGGGCTTGGAAAACTCGATGTATTGTGCACGCTCATTGTTGATGGTCAGTGGTGCCACAATCATGTCCGCTTGCCCGCTAAGCAGCTCGCCCATCATCCCATTCCACTCCTTCTTGTTGCTGTTGTTCACCTGTGGGAGACAGAGCCGATGTGGTTGGCACAGCTTCTGCGTCAGGCGCCCCGACCCTGGATCAGCCTAGCACATCACAGGGGATGGGGGGGAGTCGGGGGAGACCGGGGCGGGAGGGTGCTTCTGTTCCAGATGGGCCGCAGCCTTCGGCCCCTCCCACTCCAGGTCCCACCCCCGCCCAAGGCCACGCCTGTTAAGGCTCCGCCCAATCCCGCTTCAGGCTCCGCCCCCACTGCCCACGCGGTACGCCATACCCGTTCCTGTGTGCCGAACTTGCCGTCTGCCACCAGGTGCACCTCATAGGTGAAGTTCATGGTCCGTGCCAGTTTAATGAGCAGGTCAATGCAGAAGCCGTAGCAGCACTGAGGCACCGTGTGACGTGCTGGGGGTTTGAGGGGTGGTCACCGCAGGTCCAGGTTGCTGTCCGAGTCCTGCCCCTCCCCCACCGAGCCCAGCACTCACGGCTGCCTGGAGACGTGTCGTTGGGCCCAGTGCAGATCACCTTCTTGACTGGGTCTCCATTGACTGTGAACTCCTCCTTGCACGTCCCATCGCTCAGGGTAGGCTTCACATACACGAAGGGCTCCTGGTGGATGGTCACGATCTGGGGGAAGACAAGGCCCAGCCTGGACCACCGGCCCTCTGTGCCACCTGGCATTGCCTTCTCAGCGCACAGCCCCCTAGGCACCGCTCCCAATCCCGGTCTACCAGCACCGGGGGCGGGCCCTGCCTGGAGCCTTCCCACGAGGTTTGCCTCCCAGCCACACCTGGCTCAGACTCCCGGACCTCCTGCCTGAGGAGCATCTCCTCAAACACCCTTCCCTTTCCCCAGGTACTGGGTACCTTTCCGGGCCTCTCAGGAAGGAGACATTTCCCTTTCCCCTGAGCCCACCCCACCCTCACTGTGCCATGAAGACGGTGAAGAGACCCGCAGGGCCTGTCTCTCTCTCCTTAAGCTGTCCCCTGCCTCTCCTGGTTGCTGCCCACTGGAGGCCCACAGCCCTTGGGCTGACCCCCGTCTTCTACCCTTGCCTCTCTCTGGTGCTGCTGTGTTCTGCCAGGTCCTTATCAACCTGGTCTCAGCTTTGTTCTCGCCTCTCTGTCCTTCAGGGCCCTCACTCTAGGGATGGGGGGAGAGATACAGGTGGGGGGTTGGCTGACCAGGACTCTGGGGGGAGGTGATTTTGGAGTTGAGCCTGCAAAGTGGGCAGAGGGGCAGGTGGATCAGGCAGGACTGGATGGCAAGGGTGGGATACATGGTGTTGGGTGGGGGCGGTACCCTCAGCTGAAGTCTTGTCTGGGAAGCTGGGGGAGGTGGGAGGACCCAGCCTCACCTCCATTGCAGGCATGGTTAGATTTTTTCCCTGGCAGGGGAGAATTGTGAGCCTTTGAAGTGTGGGCTTGACATACACTTATTTACTTTTAAGTTTTTTTCATTATATAAGTACAGGAAACAAATTTGTAGATACCCACTGCACTTCACAGCCTAGATGCAGCCTTCTGACAGTTGGCTTTTTTTTTTTTTTTTTTTTTTTTTGCTGAATTTGGGATTGAATTCGGGGATGTTCTGCCAGTGAACTACATCCCCAGTCCCCTTTATGTTTCATTTTGAGACAGGATCCTGCTGAGTTGCTCAGGCTGGCCTCAAACTTGTGATCCTCCTGCCTCAGCCTCCCTAGTGCCTGGGATCATAGGCATGGTCCACTGCAGCTGCTTCCTTCAGTGTTTTGAGTGATACTTTGGACTTTGCAGTACTGAGTGCCTGGCTGCAGGAAGATGCCACAGTGGTGCATCCCACTGTGTCATAGCAAAGGGGTCCAGAGTGAGGTCATGGGGCTATCTCCAGGCTGCAGAGGTGGGCACGGAGATCAGACAGTACTAAGAGACATTTGACAACCTGAGGACACTAGGAGAAGATTAGTTGTGCACATTGCACTCAAGTTTCTGTCTCTGGTGGCCTATGGCACCAGAGGAGCTGGTGTGGCTCAGCATAGGGATGGAACACCACCTGGGAGGAGAGAGGAGCCATGGGAGAGCCCAAAGGGGCTTACAGACAGGCCAAGGAAACAATGGTCTGAGGGAGAAAGTCAGGCAGAGGAGGGTGCTCCCAGAGCCGGGGGGAGAAGCCAGCTGGAGCACAGGGAGGCCATGTGAAGGGCCAGACAGGACCAGGTCAGGGGGCACTGAGCCAAGGTCTGCGTTGAGCTTAACTGGGACTGGGTCAGGAGAGAGCCTGTTGAATGGGGGCTTGCTCTCCTCCCTGGGCCTGTTCTTTGCCTCCTGTTGTGCCAGGCATGTGGAGAGGCAGCCAGGAGTGGGCGGGCCCCGGGTCCACTTCCTTAAGCTGACCTTACTGCCCTTTCTTCCAGGCCTGAGGGGGTTGGATGGGATATCCTGGGTGGGGATGCTGGGGCAGGTTGGCAGGGCCCCACCTTTAGTCTGGTAGACATCTGGTACCCTCGAGGCTTCTCAGTCTCTCCACCTGGCCAGATGATCTTCCTGTCATTAGGGATGACCTGGGGGTGGGAGTATGAGATGGAGGGTGGCCACGCAGGGGTCTTGGCCCCAGGACCCTAAGGCCCCAGCCCCCACCCCCTCATGACCCCCACCTACGTGGGTGCCATTGTAGATGCCCACTTGCACCAGCTTGCGGTTCTGCAGATTCATGATGCTGTAGTTGGCAAACTTCCGGTCCCCGTCCTCATTGAATTCTACACGGCCAGTCACTCCGTCTGCATACTTGGAAGACATCAGCACCCTGGGAAGGCAGTGTGGTTCAGACCTAACAGCAGTATTCTTTCTCCCTGGCCTCCTGAGCTGCCCAAGCCATTCCTTCTGCCCTAGTCCCATGAAAGGAAAGATCAGCAGAGCACAGACCCTCATGCTGAATAATGGACATAATGTGCCTGCCCTCACCAGATGGACAGCACAGCTAGTGACAGCTGAGTGGCTCCTAGATGCCAGACCCTGGGTGGGCTTTTTGTGGGTTGGGACATTTGGTCCTCATAGCAGCCATCCTGGTTTTACAGAGGAGGCAGAAGCCCAGGACACCAGGCCCATTTGCCAGCAAGGTGGGGAGGCCGACAGAGCCTGGCATCAGCTCTGACCACCAGGCAGTCAGTTCCATCTGTGTGTGTGCCCGTGTATCGTACTTATTGGGACATACAAGTGAATGGATGAATCTGTGGGCCCCATGTGGGGTACACACCCATGAGTGCACTTGTGACACACGTGCCACGTGAAGAGTCTGTGTGTCCGTGTGTGCCTGTGTGGGGGCTTGTGTGTGTGTGCTCCTGGCCTGGTGTGCAGTTACTCCCTTGGGTCTCTGGCTCTCTGTGTTCTTGGGTTCCTTTCTGACCTCCTGGGTCCCTAGAAACTCCCAGTCCCCACTTGTAGCCAGAGCTGCTTCCCAAGGGCTACCAGCCATGGTGGGAGGCCCCAGGAGTCTCAGGGTGGCTGCCCTAGGACAGGAAGGGCGGAGCCACAGAGACAATCACAACTCCAGAGACAGCCCAGCTACAGGTGGCCTTGTTGGGCAGGACGGCAGTAGCCATGGCAGTGAAGACGGTGTTGTGGGAAGGTGGGGACAGCAGTGGACCCCAGCCTCCCCTGAGGAGTGGGCCGCTGCTCTGCCCACCTCTTGAAGAGTGGCCCAGTCTTCCAGATGTTGGTGTTGCCCACGCAGCCCCGCGGCGGGTCGGTGATGTTCTCCTTCTCCAGCAGCTCATGCACAGCCTGGGCCACCACGCCCACCGCATCACTGATGTGGGCTGACTCGTTCTTGCCATTTATGAGCTGCAGCCCGATGATGCCTGCGGGAGAGTGGGCTTAGAGCCTGCGGGGGGGGGGGGGGCGCTGCCCCGTCCCAGAGGCCAGGCACTCACCGTCGGGCGCATAGCGCAGGGCGTTCCCTGAGATCTCGCGCTCCCCCACCAGCCACACGTACCCCGAGCCCGTCATGTTCAGCATCGCAGCCGCGCGGTAGACGGTGGCAGCGTCGTCCTCACTGTGGGGCAGATGGGGCTGACTGGCCAGGACTCTGGCCCTCTCACCCAAACCTCTCTGCTTGGATTCTGCATCTCAGAGCCTGGGCCTGCCCCACCCAGAGCCAGGCTGGGAGACCCCTGCGCAGGAGCCTCCCAGGCGGGTCACTGGCAACCTGCCTTTGGGGCAGGGATGGGATTGGACACCTGCTTACAGGACTGGCCGGGTGCTGGCCTTGGGCTGGGTGGCCCAGGTTGTGAGGGATCACTGTGCACTCCTGCTCCCCATGTGCTCTGAGGCCTTTGTAGGCCTCTTTTCACCACACCTCTACTGGACAGGCGCACACCCACTCTGTCAGGAGGATGCCGAGGGATACAGGGGCAGTAAATGGGAGAGTGAGGTCTGTGCCTGGACTGTCCACCCCAGATCTCATGACCTGTGACCTTCTGAACAAGCCAAACCCCTCCTCGGATTCTTCCTGTTCAAATGTGCAAGTGAGAGGACTGGGGTTCCCTGAGTTGAACGCTGGTAGGAACCAGCCCCCAGGGAAGCTGCCCTAAGCATCCCACAGAGGCTGCCAGGCAGAGGAGGGCCAGCTCTCACTTCTGGGGTCTGCACAGCAGCTGTGTCCCCCTTCCACCCAGGTCAGGGTGGCCAGGCAGGCTCCACCTTGCAGGGACATGTGGTCTTGAGCTCTTGGGATATCCTCAGAGTTAATTCCTGTACACAGTGAAGAAGAAGACCCCCTCCCCTGGAGCTAGGCCTCCCTGGACATGACAAGGACTTGGGCCCACTGGGGGGGCCTCCTGCAACCCTTCACTTGTCAGACTCTTCTCTGCAGGGTCTGAGCCAATCCCAGTAGGGCCTGGACTTCAAGGGACACTTTGCTTTTTTACAGCACAGTGCAGATACAGCAAGGTTGGGTGGATTGCCTGTGGGTTGGGCTGGCTTCACAATGGCTGATTCTCAGCCAGAGGGGGATCCTCAGTCCTCTGAAGGGCCTGCCCTCAATTTTCTCAAGGATTAGCTAACAAACACAGGCCCTCAGTCTTTGCTCTAAATGGCAGCACTGGGTTGATGTTGCAAGCAGCACCTCACAGAGATCCAGGCAAGAACATGTGGCAGGAAGCGGGGCAGCCAGCACACAGATCAGAGGAGCCCAGCACCATGCAGGCTGGGGAAGATCCAGACCTGTGATGTGCCCCTTGGAGAGTGATAAGCCTTATCAATCCATCAAAACCTCGTCAGACTACGTTATGAAACAGCTGACTCCAGTAGGGGAATTTCAGGAAAGCGCTGATGAGAGTGAAAAGTTTGGGAAGTGATTTCTCTACATCCTACAGAAAACTGACGAGAATTTAAGACTGGCACAAATGGGGTCTCAATACTGTGTTGCTCTCAACAACCCTCATGAAGGAGGAGCCAAAGTGTGACTGGTGGCTGGGTTGCAACTCAGCGGAAGAGTACCTTCCTAGCATGCCCAAGATCCGGGGTTCCACCCCAGCACCACACACACACACAATGGTGCCAGGGTCAAGAATGCCTGTGCTTGCTGCTGCCTGGGCCCTGCCTTCCTGCGTTCCTGAGCTTGGTGCTGCTAGGTGGGTCAATGATCCTCTGCTGTGGGACTTTGATTTTTCTGTCCCAAGGGCCCAGAGTGTGAGTGGAAGGGTCCTTGCCATCCCTGACAGGCCAGGGGCCTTGCCTGGGTTCTATAAGAAGGCCGTAGGTGTGTGTGTGGTTGATAGGTGTGCTGTGTATGCACAGGTGTAGAGCATGGCGTGTATGTGTATGCAGTGCCTGGTGTGAACATGGTGTGCGCACACATGCACGAGTATGTGTGTGAGGATATGTGTGGTGTACATATGGATGTAGGCATGCGATTCTGTGGGTGCCTGTGTATAAGTGTGTGTGGTGTGTGCAGTGGTACACATGCCTGTCCATGTGTGCATGTGTGATGTGGGGCATGTGGGGGTATGTGTGTGGTGCATGTGCACATGTGTACACACATGAGCATGTGTGGTGAGGGGTAGGCACTTGTATGTGCAGGTGTATGAATGTGTATGACATGCAGGTGTGTGTGTGAGGTGCATTGTCTGTGTGTGAGGTCGTGTGTGTGTGTGTGTGTGTGTGTGTGTCTAGCATAACAGTGTCCTCCTCCCTAGTCTGGCCTTTCTCTTAGAGCTATGTCTAACAAAACATAGTGTTTTTTACCTTGGAATCTGTCAACAGGCCCCTCTCAGCCTGTGTCCCAAGACAGGGAATTCCCTGTGGCTGCAGTGGTGGTACCAGGGACCATTTACCAGAGAGAAAACCCAGAGAAAGTGTCCATTCCTCTGCTGTGACCTAGATGAAGAGGTTCCATGGATCAGTGTTACATGTGGTTCTCTGGTCTGGGTCCTGTTGGTCACCCCAGTTACAAGGTATGGATCAGGTAGTTGAGCTTGCTTTAATCTGTCCACTAACTAGAGGTTTGAACTCAGGGGACACTCTACCACTGAGCTTCATCTCAGTCCTTTCTGTTTTATTTTGAGACTGGTTCTTGCTAATTAGCTCAGGCTGGCCTGGAGCTTGTGGTCTCCAGCCTTCGCCCCTGAGCTCTGGAGTCACAGGCATGCCCACCCAGCCTTCTGTTCCATCACACCCACCAAACCTCCCTTGAATCCTGCAATGAGGAAAAGAAGAGCACATGGATCAGAAAATAGGAGGGTCTGAGCAGGACATAGTGGCATAGACCTGTCATCTCAGGTACTGGGGAGGTCGACACAGGAGGATCATGAGTCCGAGGCTAGTCTGGGCTACTTAGCCAGACCCTGTCTCAAAATAAATAATAAAAAAAATTTAAAAGGCTGGGGATGTAGCTCAATGGTGTTAATTCAGCCCCTGGATTCAATCCCCAGTACTGAGGGAAAAGAAGAAGGAGGGTCCGGCAGGGCTTTCCCTGGGTGGGACTTACCAGGGCAGGGCTTCCCTGGGTTAGGCAAAGCTTGTGCGGGGAAGGGTTCTTCCCTTGGGTGGGACTTTCCTTCAGAGGGGTTTCTGCGGCTCTGCCCCCTTGCCTGGGCCCAACTTTCATCCTTTCTCAGGAAACCCTAGCCTGCCATAGGTGCCCATAGTTGCATTCAAGGCAAAGGCAAGTGACCCTGACTCCGAGGTCTTGGTGGGCCACTGTAAAATCCAGAGTGCAGTGGGGAGTCACTGTTGTCTGCCACAGCTCTGCAGAAGCAGGAGAGGCCAGGGGCAGTATGAGCCCCAGCTTCTGCCTTCTCGCTGGGAGTGGGACCCCTGGCCCTAGTCCTGCCGTCTGGGGAGGGGTAAGTCCTACCTTATGGCCTGAGGAGCCCTAGTTGGCCCCACCTGTCTGTGGATAGTGGGTGGAGTGCTGCGGGCATTGTGCCAGAGATTTTGTTGACCAAATGTGCAAACAGACCCTTGTCCTGTGACTGGGTGTCGCTGGCCCTTCCCTGCCATAGGACGGCAGGTTGGGTGCGTTCCTCTGGGCCTGAGGACCTGCTGTTTTTCTCCACTCCCAGAAGAGCTTTCAGGTTGGGGTGGACAGCAGAGTGGTCCACCAGAGCCCCTGCTGTCCATGACAGGGCTGCCATCCTTCCCAGGCTTCCTTTCCTGTCCCTGGTGACCTATTCTTTTTATTATTATTATTAAATATTTATTTTGTAGTTGTAGTGGGACGCAATACTTTTACTTATTTATTTGTATGTGGTGCTGAAGATGGAACCCAGGGCCACACGTGTACTAGGTAGGTGAGCGCTCCACCGCTGAGCCCCCGCCGAAGCCCCCTGTGACCTTTCCCTTCCCAGGAGAACCTAGTCATCTGCAACTAGGGCGGGTCCCCTGAGGGACTGTTCCAGAGGCACTGTGTGGGGCTGGCCTATCTAGGTGCAGCCGGTTTTTCACAGTTCCCTACCTGGTTTCTCGTCCTAGCTGCTCTGATCCTTCAGTTGGCAGTGGCGGCCCTCTCCCTGTGTGGGCCTTGCCACTTGGGCTCACCTGCCCACCTGCATGTCACTCAAGGTGTTTGCATGTGTGTCCTCCATGAGTCTTGGGATTCCTAAGGGCGGAGTCTTCATCCCTCACCTCAAGTTCAGTTCAGAGACAGCAGGCACATGTGGCTATGGAGGGAGAGGGCCAGGAGGGGGTGGGCAGATAGAAGTGGCCAGCTCACCAGGTGTGGGAGGTGAGAAGGGGTTTTCCTCTGTGAAGGTGTTTTGGAGGCTGAAGCTCACTTTGCCCATGGGTGCCCAGCCCTGGCTGAGGGTGGGCTCCGGCCCAGGCACAGCCCTGAGTGATGTGGGAGGGCGCAGTCCAGCCTCACCTGGCAGAGAGGATGATGACCCGGGCCTCCAGCTCTCGAGCCTCCAGCAGCAGGGCTGTCACATTCTTGGTCCCAGGGTCGAACTGCAGCACCTTCTCTGCCTGCGATGTGAGCAGGAGTGTTAGCAGGCAGCTGGGGCAGGGGACATACCACCTCAGTGGCGAGAGGGGGGGCCGAAGCCACTAGGAACCCCAAGGCAGCTGAGCTAGAGCTGCCGTGGCCTGCGTCTGCCACCTGTACTGTCCACCTGCCTTCCTCCTTCGGGGTCTGGCCTGGCCTCTCCTCCTGTCCGTTCTTCAGCCTGCTCACCGTCCTGCACTCACTCTTTGCTCTCCTTCTGCTTCCTCTAGCTCTCTCTCCACCTCACTCTTGTCCTCATTTTTGCACTGAGCATGCAAGCTGAAGTGGACCAAGATTCAGGAAGAGACGTGCAGCGGACAGGAAATAAAAAGAGTTTTGGAATGCACCCGGGAACGGAGATGGGGCCGACTTTTCCAAAACCGCGGGAGATCCTCTCAGCTCAGGCCTCATTCCTTAGGCCCCTGCAGGAGCAGCCGGAACCCAGCAGAGGCCAGGTGGGTGGGCTCCCTCCCAGGGTTCCTCAAGGAAACCCTGGGGGTCCTGGAGATTTGCATGCACTTCCCAGAGAGCAGCTCCTCCTGCGGCTGTGTCTGCCTCGAGGATGCAGGCCAGGGTCACAGCGGTGGGCCGTAGGGCCGTAGGGCTGCCCATGCCTGCCCTCTCCTGCCTGCCTGCTGCTGCCTCACGACCTGGCTGTCCTCACTGCTCAGGCCTGCGGCTCGGCACAGCGGGGCCAGACAGCGGCCCTAGTGGCCAGGAGCCGCAGGCCGGGGCTGGCTAGTCGGTGGGTGGCGTGCACGTCCATGCATATATACCTTGGGTCCGCGCTTGTTGTCATAGGACAGTTGGTCGAGGTTTTCATAGTTCCTTTTTTTACTCTGATGAATAATGTGCACAGAGAAAATATGCAGACACAGAAGAAGATTATAAACGGTTGAAAATGACGGCGCTAAAGCAATCACACCACCTCCTCGGCACGTCTGCAGACGGGCACGTACCTGGAGCTCGCAAACACCGAGGCCCGGGACGGGGCTGGGGCCGGGCTGGAACTGGGGACGGAGGGGCACGGGGGCAGGGGCCACAGAGGCTCCTGCCACAGAGGCTCCCTACCACGGAGCTATGCTCTTGAAACGGTTACTCTCAGGAGGAAGGGAGGCCCTGTCCGCATCCACTCTTTGGGTCCCGTCTGCCGCCCCCACCCCTGCCATGCACCTGCTGTGTGGCCCCAGCAGTACCCACCCTGAGTAGGGAAAAGCAGCCCCTGGGGCACTGCCCCATGTCCCTCCCACTCCCCACCCCACCCCCGTTGTCCTCCCTTCTGCCCCTGAAGGCTGAGGTTGTTCTTTTTTCACTAACTGGTGTGCCCAAGCCCAACAGCCCACATGTGCACCCAAGAGTGAGCAATATGGGATATGTGTGCATGTGTCCTTGCAGGGTGACGTGTGTCCATGGGCATCTGCATGGGAATCCTCAATGGGGATGGGGAAGGGGGAGGGCCAGGACTGACAGAGCACATGTGTGTGAGTGAGTGGGTGTGTGCCAGGGAGAGTGCACACGAAGAGGACACACTTGTGTGTCCAAGTGAGCATGCCCTTCCTGGACCACATGGAGGTGTGTGGAGGCAGGTGGAGTTTGGATCTTTCCAGGGAACTGTGGTGTACCTGTGAACATGCAGGCAGGTGGCTGGGCACACAGGTGTGTGATTATGGAGAAGCCTATGTGGCCGTGGGTGGGCATGCCAGGAGGGGAGATGCCTATGGGCACGGTTGGGCCCTCTGAATCTGTAGCCAGCCCTCCCTCCCAGACTTAGCAGTCCCCCATGACAGGACCCCCAGGACCCTCTGGCTCTACCTCTGGCCTCACCCCCACCCAAACCCTCTAGTTCCTCTGGGGGCAATGATGCCTTAGGGAGCCCAGGTTGCACTAAGTGTGGGGAGGCCAGCTCTGACTTCACAGACAGAACATGCCCCATCCCGTCTGGCTCCTGGGACTCCCAGCCTGGGCCTCCTCCCTCCTGCCTGATCCCAGAGTCACAGGCTCTGCTCAGTGCCCAGGGTTCTGGGAATGGGTGGAGGTGACCCCCGACCAGATCCTCCTCAGGCTGGCCACATGCGTGGCCAGGCAAGAAGGGGTCACTTAGACCCCCAGAAATCCTGGCTCTGTTCTCTGGCCCTCTCACAGAAGGAGGGCTGGGCTGGGCTGGGCTGGGGTGTCAGTGTGTTCTGGGGTCAGGATCTGATTGGTCCCACAGGCATGCAGAGCCCAGCCCTGGGCGGGGGGTGGTCCTGGTGGGGAGTGCCCCAGGCAGCGGGTAGGCTGGCAGGTGTTGGTGGGTGGGGCTTTGGTGAGGGCAGCAGTGAGTGGGTGGGAGGAGGCTTCCGTAGGTAAGGACATGGAATGGATTCCACCAAGAAGTGCGATAAGGGGGCTGGGCGGTAGAGCGCTTGCCTACATGAGCGAGGCACTGGGTTCCATCCTCAGCACCATATAAAAAGTAAATAAAATAAAGGTATTGTGTCCAACTACAACTAAAAAAAAAATAAAGAAATAAAGTTTTTTAAAAAAAGAAGTGGGACAGGTTCTTTGGGAAGGGACATGGCAGGGTGACCACCACCCTGGTGAGCTGCCCCAGGGCAGAGGTTGGGACTCAGGATGGGTGGGAGGGCAGGCTGGCCGACTTTCCTGGGGCGAGGGGCTTGCGGGCCGACGGAGGGGCGGGGCAGGGGTGTTTGCGGAGCTCCAGGTGGTTCAGCCCTCGCCCCGCAGGGACTGACACGAAGGAGATTTCGACTAATGGCAAAAGCAAGTGAAATGAGCCGAGGACAGGCCGGGGCGGGCGCCGCCAGACGCGGTGGTGCTGAGCATGCAGGATGGAGAGAGAGGTGTTCACAACGAGCCACAGACACGGCGCGGCCCGCCTGCTCCTGCGCGCCCGGGGCGCCCCGCCGGCGGCCGGGCCTCACCTTGGATTCGCGCTCCTCCAGCAGCGTCTCCAGGCGCTTCTGCGCAGCCCGGCCCTCGTGGTCATCGCTGACCAGCAGGATGATGTGGTTCCAGCTGTAGACGCGCATCATCTCAAACCAAACGCTCGACTGGTGCGAGTAGGGAGGCACGGTGCGCAGGAAGCTCAGGTGGATGCTCTGTGGGTGGCAAAGGGTGCTGAGGCCATCGCAGCCCTGACCTGACCCGCCTGGCTCGGGACCCCACGTCTGCCAGCTTCTGCCTCTCAGACTGGGGACCTGCCTGACTGGGGACCCCACGTCTGCCACTCTGACCTCACAGCCTGGAGGACCCTTCTGATCCGTGGACCCTATTTCTCCTACTCTGCCCTCACAGGGCTGGGGACCCTCCTGACCCAGGACCCCACCTCTCCCACTCTGCCCTCACAGCCTGGGGGACCCTGCTAACCTGGGGACCCCCCATCTCCCACTCTGCCCTCACAGCCTGGGGGGCCCTTCTGACACAGGGACCCTACATCTCCCACTCTGCCCTCACAGCACTGAGGTGACCCTTCTGACCCAGGAACCCCACATCTCCCACTCTGCCCTCACAGCCTGGGGGACCCTGCTAACTTGGGAACCCTCCATCTCCCACTCTGCCCTCACAGCCCTGGGGGACTCTCCTGACCTGGGAACCCCATATTTCCTACTCTGCCCTCACAGCCTGGGGGACCCTTCTGACCCAGGGATCCCCCATCTCCCACTCTGCCTTCACAGCACTGGGGGACCCTGCTAACCTGGGAACCCCCCATCTCCCACTCTGCCCTCACAGCCTGGGGGACCCTGCTAACCTGGGAACCCCACATCTCCCACTCTGCAGTCACAGCCCTGGGGGACCCTTCTGACACGGGGACCCCACATCTCCCACTCTGCCCTCACAGCCTGGGGTGACCCTTCTGACCCAGGGACCCCACATCTCCCACTCTGCCCTCACAGCCTGGGGGACCCTTCTGACCCAGGGACCCCCCATTTCCCACTCTGCCCTCATAGCACTGGGGTGACCCTTCTGACCCAGGGACCCCCCATCTCCCACTCTGCCCTCACAGCACTGGGGTGACCCTTCTGACACGGGATAGTCCCTACTCCACTGTCCTCACATTTCTCCTCCCCCCTCCCCACATTTGGTCTGAGAAGTGGAGGTTGGTGTCCCCAGCAGCAGGCTGACAGATCAGGTGTCTGTGAAATTGTTCCTGGGGGAAGCTCATCACCTCCCCAGAAGCTTGCTCCCTTGAGGGACACCTCAGCTCATAAACTTCTGGCTAATGTGAGCATCAACATGACCCCTCTGGGTTGCACAGGGAGTCTGCCAAATCCCAATGACTATTTATTAGGAAGTCTTCAATCTCAGGACTAATGTCTCTTTCAAGTCCAGAGGCCCTGACTCCATTGTACACTATGTTGTACAATGTTGTACCTGTTGTACGCTAACTGCCAGGGGCTCTCTGAGCCTGTCCGCGTGGGCACTGTCCCTTCTGTGTCCCTGCAGCCCAGGCTGAGCTCATGGTCTTCTCAGGCTCTGGGCTCCTTGTTCATGGTTCCTTTGTGGTGGCCTGCTATAGTGCTTTGAAGTACAAGCATGCTTCCTGTCTTTGTGACATGGTGTAGGCAGATTGTAAATGGGGTTCTGCTGGCTCATGTGCTGGGCACAAGGCTGGTTGTGGTTGGGACCATGAGGGGCCAGGCTGTGGCGGTGAGGTTTGGCCCCCACCTTTGGCTCATGGAGCTGGCCCTTGTTGGCGTCTGGCTGCCCCTGTCTGTGGAGTCCCTTCTGACCTCTTATTGCGGCAGTTGTCTTTTGGGGTGGGGCCATTTCTCTCTCTGCATGTGAGGCATTGTTGCCAAGGAGGGGAAAGAGGCAGCGGGCAGAGGGTTCCAGGATAAGAGTCTTGCTTCTCGTGGTAGTGGGCAGGGTGAGGAGCAGTTTGTTTGCCTCAGTGAGCAGGGCTTCAGAGCTCAGGAGGAGTGGCTGTTCCAGACTCTGTGTGGCCCCCTCTCTCTGGGGTCCTCCTGGATGACCCTCCTCTGGCCCAGGGAACCCTTCCCCTCATCTGAGAGGTGGAGGCTTGGTGTCCCCAGCAGCATATGCTGACTGGTGCTCAGGTCTCCATGACATTGTTCCTGAAGGCAGACCCACCCGGGGCCTTTCAGACATGCCTGGGTTGCTCTCTGCCTTAAGGCAACTTGATTGAGAACTGTGGGCTTTGGGCAGGAAGAATTTGGAGAGGACAGGAAGGCCTGGAAGTCCAGCTACAGAAACCAGCCGGCCCTCCGGACTGGGCACCAATACTCTGGTGAGTGGCCTCTCTGGTGTGTCTGTGAGTGGCCCTGTGCCTGTGGGGGATGAGTTGCAGGCTGTGGTGCCCTTAAAGCCTCCCAGCTGGTGGGACCTCCCAGAATCCTGGCCAACCAGAGCTGCATGCCTGGTCAGTCCCTGTGCCTCTCTGGGCTGCAGCACCCTGTAAAGCTGGCTGGAAGGCCTCTCTGCCCTTCCTGGGGCTGCACCAGATTGGACGGAGACCTGACCCTGGCCTGTGGCTGAAGAATCTCCAGCATGCTGAGACGGGGTGCCTCCACCCCCAAGGCACAGAGCCTTCTGCCATGAGCTACCTGGTCTGTCCACCCCACACCATTTCCCACCCACACCCTGTGGTGAGCAAGGCTGGTGACCATAGCCCTCCTGAATAACCCCCTTCTATCCAGGTGGATCTTCCTCCTGGACACCCACCCCCCCAGCTCTCCCACTGCCCCCTGCAGTCTCTCTGTCCAGGAAGCCTCCCGGCCCATCCCTTCTCCAGCCCACGGGGCCTTCTCTTTCCCCAGAGGGGGTGCTGTTGGCACCTTTTACCCCAGTAGGCCACCTGCCTATGCGTAAGACTGCAGGGATACCTGTGTGCACAAGCATGTGTGTGGGAGGACCAGGTGCCTGTGGTGTATGGGGTGCTTGTGAATGTGGACAGTGTGTGGGGGTGCCAGAGCACAAACCCCAGTGCACAAGTTGAGTGAGTGAGTGAGTACAGTGTTTGGAGATGACAGGAGACAGAGTGTGGTGCAGGCGTGGACGTCTCTGAGTTCAGGTGTGAGTGTGTGTGTGGCCTGGAGGCTCCTCCAGGGTAGTGGAGCACCCTGCCCTGCCCTGACCCAGTACTTGGTTCCATCCTGTGTGGGGCAGCAGCCAATGGCCCTGGACCGTGCAGGGCTGAACATGGGGGCCAGAGAATCACCTGGGCTTACCTTGTCTGAGTAGATGGACATGCGGGTGGTCAGCCCCAAGACGGGGATGCGGTAGAAGCCAGCTGTGTAGGAGACAGGCGTGGGAGTGAAGTGGTCATTGGGAGTAGGTGGGTGGCTAACTAGGATGGCATAGACCTGTGGACATAGGAGAGAAGGTCAGCTCCATGGGGGACCAGGGGCCTACAGAGTCTGGGCCTGGCAGGTGGTGTTATTCATGTGCAAATAACCCCAGAAACCCAAGAGGCTTCACCATTGGTAGGTCATATGAACCTACCATAGAGACTGGCCAAGCAAGACTCCAGGCGCCAAAGGGACACATGCAGGGAGCTCCAGGACCTGCCCAGCTGGCCCCTCAGGCCTTGGCCCTGCTGACGAGGGACCCAAGGGGCTTCCCTGAGCATGCCAGGAGATCTGGGTGGGGGAGGCCTATTCTCAGGTTTCCCTGGGTCTGCTTATGTCCTCACCCTGATCATGGGGTGCACTGGGTGGCCTGGGGGAGCAGCTGGTCCTGCATCATGCTGACATGGACACCCACACCAGCCGCTGAGCCTCCCCCTGGTCAGAAGTGGTTAGAGCTCAGGATCCAGCAAGGCAGGTGGCCCTGTAGTTTGTATGGGGCTGTGGGGAAGTTCAGCCAGGGGCTGCCACTGAGTACTGTGGGCCCTGTTGCTAGTGTTCCCAGGGGCTGGGCATAGGGTGGCATGACACAAGCCCATTCCTGACTGAAGCTGACCTCATCCCTGAGGGCAGATCCAAGGTCAGTGGCCCCTAGAGCAGATGTCCCCCTCTCCTCAGCCCCTCCCCAGGTGGCAGGAGGAATGCGAGGGCTCCGTGTCACTGTCACATCTGAAGGGACCATGTCTATCCCCAACTACCTGGGGCTCTGGAACACAGGTCCTCCAGTTTTTCAGAATGGGACAGTGTGTCATGCACCTGCCCACATGACTGGGCTGGCACTGCTGTGCTAACAGTGCCTGGCCCATCGGGTGCTCTGTGCATGACAGCTTCTCCTGGCCCTGGCTGCTGAGCAGGCCCAGGCCCAGGAAGGTACACTTCAAGGGAGTGACGGGATTCCCTCAAAGGGCCCTGCCTGGAACCCCTGACCGCACCCACCCACATCATCATCCCAGGTAGAACACGTGACAGAAGCCACTGGCCACAAGTGCCTTACCCAGTCCTGACCTTGGCCTCCTGGCCTAGAGCATGGGGGGTGACTTTTGAAGTGAGGGTGTCCTGCCTCTGAGCTACGTCCCCATCCCTTTTTATTTCTTCTTTTGAGACAATGTCTCATTAAGTTGCTGAGGCTGGCCTTGAACTTACACTCCTCTTGCCTCAGCCTCCCAGGTCACAGGGATAACTGGTGTGCACCACCACACCTCTCGGTGGGAGGGCTTCTCAGAAACACTCTGGCATGGCCTCTGCATGAGTTCTCAGACTGGTCCTCCCTCCCCCATCTTCATCTCCAGTCAGCACCCAGAGGTGCCCAACAGAGCAGCAGATGGATGTTTGCATGGGCAGGGGTGCACATGTGCTTTGTGGGGCTGTGCAGGAGTTCATGAGCACATGCCAGGACATGTTTACCTTACATGCTCAACATGTCTGCACTTCTGGTGTGTAAGCACACATGTCATGTACATATTGTGTGCCTAATATGTCTGTATTTGTCCATGTATGTAAACACATGTTTGTATGTGCACCTGGGCATGCCAGTGTGTCCACAGATGTGCATGTGTGTGCCAGTAGGCACGTGTGATTGATTGTGTAACACCGAGGTGCCTGAGTATGTGTTCCTGTGGTGTGTGTGTATGTGTGAGCATGCGTGTCCATGGGTTGGTGCTTCTGTCAGGGAGCACGTGAACAGTGCTTGGCCCAGTCTGCCCTGCGTCTCACAGGAAGGGCTGCATTGCAGTGATCCTCAGGCTTCATTGGAATTCTGCAGGCGACTGCCAGGAGCGGGCTCCAGCAAAATCTGGGGAGCCGCATCCTCCCCCGCAGTGCTAGCTGCAGACAGCTCCCATGCTGTGCCCAGCGCCTCTCACATGCGCAGTCCCCACTTCCACCCCCCACCAAGCACATTGCTCCCACACCTGAGATGCTTCCCCTTTCAGGCCTGTGGCAGGGGCCAAGGGAAGGGAGAAAGGGAAAGAATCAAGGAGCAGAAACAAAGATGGCCCCAGGCCCATCTTGTTCAGACACCTGCAGCGCACCTCTGCCCAATTCCCCAAGCGCCTGGCCCCACACTGACACCATGAAACAAACCACCCAAATTGGCCACAAGTCTGCACACGGAGCCCCAGAGCCCTTCTGGGGACCTGCCAAGGTAGCAGGTAACCAGTCTGGGAGCCAAGATGAGGAAGCCAGCAGAACCTGGTGTTTGGTTCCCAGTGAAACTAAGCCTCCTGGAAGAAGCCCAGTGGCTTGCTCGCGTTTTCTTAAGGGGAAGGAAGGGTTAGGGAAAAGGACTGAACCCGGCCAGTGAGAGGATGGCAGGAGAGCGGGAAGGAGGGAGGCGGCAGGCACCTGGCTGGAGATGAGGTCCTCACACACCGACAGGGCCATCTGGATAGCATTGGGCTTGTGGGTGACCGAGGTGGCGTTGAGCTGGATCTTCCAGGAGCCGTGCCGCTTGTTGGCCTGGTTCACGGCCTCGCGGAACATCTGCTCGTGCTTGCGCGTGCTCAACACCGCACCGATGTTGACGATCTTGGGGTCGCAGGCGGCGCGGGCGAAGGAGCAGGAGAAAAGCAGGGCGAGTGTCAGCAGGCGCATGGTGCTCATGGGCTCCGGCCACCGCGGGCCTGGTTCTGGGTAGCACGAGTAAGGCGCCCTAAGTGCATGCCCCGCGGGGTGCCCCTGCGGTCCGGCTCCCGCCGGGCCCCGCGGGCGGGGGTCGCCGGGTACTTGAGGGCCCGCCCGCCGTCCGCTTGTGCGGCGGGCGCTGTCCGCGGTGCTGAAGCGGGACCCAGGGCAGCCCCGAGCGCCGCGCGCGGGGAAGACTCAGCGAGGACTGCTAGACCCGGTCCCGACGCTTCAGAGGCTGCGGCGACTGCGGCAGCTGCGGAGCTGCGAGCGGGACCAACGCGTCCTACCCCTCCCGCCGCCCCCGCTTCCCGACGCGGAGCCGAAGGGGGCGCCTCCCGCGACAGAGCGTGCGCCTGCGTTCGCGAGAGCACTAGCTGCGCGCGTGAACCCGAGCGCCCGCGTCCGCGCGTGTGTGCGCGCGTGTAGGGGTCCAAAGACAGCGACTGTGCTGGCTCGAGCCTATGGGCGCCGAGCTGTGAAAGGGTAAAAGAATCCGTGTGACGTTGTGCACCTGTACCCTTGCTAGTCTGTAAGCATGACTGGGTGTGTGTCGTGATGGTTTGTGTGTGTGCGCGTGCGTGCACGAGCCTTCACCCATAGTTCATTATATTTTGGGATCTAACTCTTACAGGAAGGAGACCCAGGGTGTGGAAAGGCCCTAAGCCAGGCTTCTGGGGGAGGGACCCTGGGGCTCCCCTCCACCCAAGATTCAAAAATGTGAGAGAGACCTCATGGGCGTCACCATGTGACATAAAATCCCTCCAGAGGATTAAGAATAGAAGGGGTGACAGTGGCTGCTCCATCATGCAACCATACCTTCTAGGAGAGTCTTGGGACCTGGATCCAACTAGCTATGAAGACACCAAGGCCAAAGGGAGCTGAGCAGTCGGGACTAAGTTAAGACAGGAGCTTTACTAGGGCTCCAGCATGCCATGTTTGGTTTAGGCATGGCCCATGCCCTGCATGTACTCCACACCGGGTCACCAGCCACTCTTCTGGTGTGTCAGGACTCCCTTCCCAGACCCTCCCTTGTCCCTCTGTTCCTTGTGATCCTAATTCCCTGTCCCCATCCAGCCCTGGAGTGTGCTTCCCCCTCCCAAACTCAAAGGACAGATGAAGCTCCGCCCCTGCTGCTGACGTCACCGTTTCCAATAGCAACCAAGGATTCTGCACATTCAACTGCAAAAGCCCCCAAGGGGGACAAAGCAGGGTGGTGTCCACATCTAAGTCTGTCGGAGTAGTGCAGTGGGGAAAGCTAGATTCCCCTCCAGGGTCACACTCCCTACTCCCTCTCCCCTCCCCCCACTGTCATCATACTCTGGAGGAGAGGAAGGGCAGGGGGACCCTGGCATTTGCCAAGCTCCCTTTCTTGGCTCCTCTCTCAAATGCAAGGGAATAGCTGCCGGAAGTTGTGTGCTCGCATCCTGCTGCGAGCTCCCACCCTGCTCTGTTCCGGGGCTGAGGAACACGATGGAAGGAACATCTAGTGCCTTGGGACCCTGCTGTTCCCAACAGCACACATGGGGATGCTCAGGTCCCAGAGTCAGCCCCACCCGCACAGGGTCATGCTCATCTCTGAAGTCTGTGGCCTCTGGCAGGTCAGAGCTTGGAGGCTGTGGGGATGGCCTGGGCTCAGGCAGTTCCAGGACAGAACAGAGGTGGGGGAAGGGATCCTTCAAGGGTCACCTGTTCATCCCACTCCTCCAGTGGGGGATGGAGGTGGCTCGGACTGGCACTGAAGAGCTTATTGCTGATATTTCAGAAATCCATCAGCCAGTTGCTACACTTGGGAACGTGAAATTAGCCATGGAATCATTTGTACCAGGGGATTCATCAAACCCTACAAATCAGGGCTCCCCCTCCTTTGGAGAGTCAAAGGCACCACCTCTCCTGCAGAAGGTCCTCAAGTATTTGTTCCAAACTCCTTGGACAGGTCCCCAGTGGTGGAGGACACAGAGGATGCTGGGCCTCCCAGCTTGGCCCCACCTCATGCCTCTGGCTGTCCCCAACCTCAACCTCAACTGCCCAATCACCAAACAGCTCTCCTTAGCCTCGCCTTGACTTCTGTTAATTGGCCAAAGGGTCATCATATGACCCAAATGGACCAATCAGGGTTCTTTCTTAGTTTTTTTTTTGGGGGGGGGAGTAGAGGGGATTGAACTCAAGGTCACTCAACTACTGAGCCACATCCCCAGCCCTATTTTATAGTTTATTTAAAGACAGGGTCTCACTGAATCACTTAGAACCTCTCTTTTGCTGAGGCTGGCTGTGAACTCGCAATCCTCCTGCCTCAGCCTCTCAAGCCTCTTCCCTCGTCTCTTGACTGGGTCGCAAACTGGATCAGGATCTTTGCTGTGTGTCCAGTCCGAGAGGTGAATCTCTGAGAACTAGGGCACAAGATTCACCTGTATATGCATTTCTGTGAAGAGGAAGCCAGTTTGAGAGGAGGAATCTGACAGGATGGGAAGAGGGACAGCCCCACCCGCACAGAGTCATGCCTACTCAGTGCCTACTGAGCCCTGACTGTACATCCCTGCCTACATGGCCAAGGGCAGAGGATAGGCCTTCATCTGAAGTCCAGCTGCTGGGGAGCTGCCTTCACATTAGGACTGGGGAGATGTGGCTGTCATCATCAGGCCTGGCTGCCAGACAAAGAAGTTGACTAGAGCCAGGCCTCTGTCCCTGATCTGGGGGAGCCCCAAGGCCCTCCCAGAGAACAGCGAGACACCACTGGATCTTCTGTCCAGCCTCGTGCCCATGCCAGCTCCCACACCATCGTCCACATTGTCGTACTGGCCTCCTCCCCCACAAATCCCTCCTGACATCTCCAACTCCCACTCTCGGGAAGGACATCTTCCCAACATCCCCCTTCCCAGGCACCTGCTCCACCTGGGACACTCTAGGGACTGGGCGCAGCAGGGAAGCCAGGTACCTTGGACCATGTCACGCAGGCTTCACTCTGAGGAAACACAAGCAGCATGAAGGGACAGAGAGCTATAGGGACAGGCAGGTATTCAACAGATCTGCACCTTCTCAGCACACCACCCCTTCCAAGGTGGAGCCTGTTCCCTCTGCTTGAATGGGACTGCACTTGATGTCTTTTTTCTTTCTTTCTTTTTTTTTTTTAATGAGATCGAACCCAGAGGTGCTTTCTACTGAGACACACCCTTAGCCCTTTTCATTTTTTTGAGACAGGGCCTCACTTAATTGCTAAGGCTGGCCTCAAACTTGCAATCCTCCTGCCTCCTCCACCTTCCAAGTGGCTGGGATTACAGGCGTGCACCACCGCATCTGCTCTTTTTTCTTTTTTGAGCTGGTCTCTCTCTGTTACCCAGGCTGTCCTTAAGAACCTGGGCTCTAGAGGCCCTGCCTCAGTATCCTGACTAGCCAGGATTACAGGCACATGAGAGCGCATCTGGCTTAAACAATTCTCTGGTGACAAACAAAAATGTTGCGAAATTTTATGTTCAACAGAGGAAATTTCACCTTCTTGGTTTGTTTCTTTGTTTGTATCAGGGATTGAACCCAGGGGCACTTAACCCCTGAGCCACATCGCCACCCCTTTGTAGTTTTTATTTTGAGATAGGGTCTATGTTGTTGAGGCTGGACTATCAACATGCCATCCTCCTGCTTCAGCCTCCCAGCCACTGTAATCCCAGCAGCTCAGGAGGCTGAGACAGGAGGATCACCCCTCTGGGATCACAGGACCACACTCAGTTTATGCAGTTTCTCTGATGTTTGCTTGGGGTCTGTCCTGAATGCAAGGGCTGCAGGGGCTTAAGGGGTGAGGGTACCTTATACTAAGCAGTCCCTAAGGGCCAGGGAGGTCTTCAGTGCCCTTCACCCAGTTTTCCCCAATGGTTGCATCTCACACACACAGGACAGTAGGAAATGCAGGAATGTAGCAGAGCTATGGATGCAGCTCAGGGACAGAGCACTTGCCTAGCATGCAAAAAGCCCTGGGTTCCATAAGACAAAAGCAAAAGAAAGAGCCTTCAGGAATGTGACGTGGGTGTGGTGCTCCAAGTCATTGCAGGGTGCCTTCGAGGTGCAGGACTGTCCCCATCACAGACCTCCCCTTCTTATTCACACCCCTACTACAAGCCCAGCCCACTCTCAAGAGGCAATTGGCTCTTGAAAGACTGCCCCATCTTCACTCCACAGATGGGCACTTGCAATAAACAAGGTGCTGAGATTGGTCACTACCCAGACGGGAGCAGTTTTTGGGGAGCACACAGGTGGTAGGAACGGGAGCCAAGTGTGCACAGCTGTCTGAGGGCTGGAGCTTGGGGGCCTTGTGGGAACTGGAGTCCACACTTGGAGTGGAGACCACTCTGGGGTGCCCAGGAACCCCCTCGTGCCCCCGCCCGGCCCCTCACCAGGGCTGAGACAGCCCAGGGGCTGGGAGGCATGGGGAGCTCTCACAGCTGCTGGGGGCTCCTGCTCAGGCCTCCTTGAGATACATGGTTTCCCTGGAGCCATGTTTGAGGGCACTGCAGGGACTGTCGACAGAGCTGTGCTCGAGAATGTCCTTGTAGAAGAGATGCCACCAGGAGAGGGTCCCAAGGAATTCCTGGAGAGCAAGGAAATGGACTAAAGACCAGTAGGGTCCTTGACATACATAATGGAAAATAATTTCAGTTCATGTCAGTCAGAGGCACAGACAGAGATAATTCATCCAGAAAAGCAGAAGCACACTCAGGGGAGAATGTGGGCCATCTCAAGAGTGAGGCAGCTGGGCACGGTGGCGCACGCCTGTAATCCCAGCAGCTCAGGAGGCTGAGGCAGGAGGATGGAGAGTTCACAGCCAGCCTCAACAAAAACAAGGTGCTAAGCAACTCGGTGAGACTCTGTCTCTATAGCTATTTATTTATTTATTTATGCTGGGGATTGAACCCAGGGCCTTGTGCGTGCAAGGCAAGCACTCTACCAATTGAGCTATGTCCCCAGCAAGACCCTGTCTCTAACTAGAATACAAAATAGGGCTGGGAATGCGGCTCAGCTCAGTGAGTGAGTGCCCCTGAGTTCAATCCCTGGTACCCCCACCCCCAAAAAAGGATGAGACATGTTTTGGGGGTTCCTAGCTCTTCTTTTAGAGGAAACTTGATGAGAGATGGGTATGAGAATATATGTAGGGATGATGTCAATCTGGTCATTCTCAGAGGCCTTAGGCTGACCTGGTCCCCCTTGTCTGATCAATAGATAACACTGGAAAGTCCCCTACACTGTAGGTTTCTCAAATTATCTCTAATTAACAGCACACACGGTAATTATCATACCTGAGTGAATTTACCA